TTCCTTTCCTTTTTCCTTTCCTTCTTTTCTATTTCCTTTCCTTTTTCCTTTCCTTGTTTCCAATTTTCTTTCCTTTCCCTCCTCCTCCCTTCCCCCCTTCCTTCCTGGGGGTCTGAGGGAGAGGGAGGGGACCCTTTTCCTCCTTGCCCCCCTCCCCAACATCTGCTCTGATGGCAATTATGGCTAAAAAAAAAATCAGGTGCTCAGGCATGAAAATGTGCCGCTCGAACACTATACTTTTCCGCACACACTGAAAAAAATTAGAGGGAACATTGGGGAACACCACAGATTTTTCCCTCCTATCTATCATGCCCTTACTTCTTTCATTGCCATGTTCAACTTTGGTTTTCAACACTTATTGAATCTTAAGAACTGTGGTGGCGCAGTGGTTCAAATGTGATATTGCTGGCTAAATCTGGCAACTGCCAGCAGTTGGATCCTGACCTCAAGGTTGACTCAGCCTTCCATCCTTCCAGGGTCAGTAAAATCAGGACTCATATTGTTGGAGGCAATATGCTGCTTCTGTAAACTGCTTAGAAAGGGCTGTAAAGCACTATGGAGCGGTATATAAGTCTAAGTCCTATTGCTAAGTGCTCTTAATGGTTTGTTAGTTAGGCAGTGGAAGGGTTGCGGGGGGGCACCATTGTTGGGCTCTGCTTAGGGCATCAGTTGGCCTTAATCCTGCCCTGAGAAGGAACATTCATAGACCCTTTTAGTTCAAGGATCACAGAGGAAGAGCAGAGGTCTGTTGCATCTCCGGAGAAAAGAGGAAAGCTTGCTGGTTTCTTCAAATGTTTATGCACTGTAATCAAAGGTCTGAAAAATTACTCATGCAAACGTGTTTCTTAACAATAGGAATCCCCCACCCCTTGCTATCCTCAGCCATAGGGCTGAAGGACAATATGGTTAGTCCTCATTTAGTGATTAAACATTGTTACTGAGTCTATCACTAAGTGAAGCCATGACTGATCTTATTTCAGCTTTCTTTTCTTGACAGATCTATGAAGTTTTTCAATACAAGGACCTATCACAAAGTTACTTTTCCATCACTGTCATAACTATGAATGGTCAGTGTATGAGGCAGTTGCTAATTGAGGATTACTTGTATTAAGGAGGATCCAACACCTACTGATTAACTACCCATCACACATTCAAAAGAATTGAGCAAACTGAATAAAATGAAGTGAAGACACAAGATTGAGTAACACTGGGGAATTCCTGAATCACAAGCCAGAGGAACCAATGGCAGTTTATAGGACATCTCCCTAAGCATAGCTATAGGGAGTGACCAAATAGTTTTCATAAGGTTAACTCAAAATTTCCACACAATCAATATTTTACAAAGATTGCTTTCCAATATAATTTATTTAGACATCTTATCATAGGCAACTACAGCAGAAAAAGCCCCCCCATACATTCCATGAGGATTGCCACACTAAAAATTAATTCTTTTAAAATGCTGAAATTATAATTCATATTTATATTACACAGTATGCCAGAAATCTCAAGATAAATATATACAAAGTAAAAGTTGAAAAGTATACCCCTATGTCTATTCAGCTACTGTATACTCTGAGGAGTGCAAGGTAAAAAGATCAGGCCACCACTTTAATTTTCCACAATGCTCCCAAAAATTTAAACAGGGCAGGCGTGTGGCCAACCATATGAACAAATCTTCTCATTGTGTAACTCATACTAGGTGGCTGGGGAAAGGACAATGTACACTAACTATAAGTGTACAGAAAAGACCAGATCAAAGACGTATGCTGCGTAAATCATTACTAAACCCAACAAGTAATCCATAATGTGGTCCCAATTCAACATTAACATTGAGATAACTTTAAAAGATCTGTGGAGGAAAAATCTTCTTTCATTGAAGCACATCAGTGTTTAAAAAGCAGCCTAAAACTAAAACCAAACAGAGAACATGTAGAGAATGGGTACCCTCCCTCTCCATTTTCTGGTCCCAAACACTAAATGAGCATGTTATGCATCATGGATTTTCACAGTATTTCTGTTTTACTGACAAGCAAATGAAATGGAAGAGAATGACTTCGAATTAGGATTTTAAGACCTGCCACCACCCATACCTTGCTTGTTTTAACTGTTTGTCCCAATTGAAAATATGACCTTTTCAACGTAAGGCAACATAGAGGGAAACCCTGAACAAACTATGCAAAAACAGATCTTCGTGGGATTGAGTCCACTGCATTTGCTTTTCCTCTGCAAAAATCAAAATTATGAGATTATGCTCAGTAGCTGCTGTGGTTTTTCATTGGTAGCATAACATTACATACAATTTCCATGGTAAAACAAAAGCCACAAAATGTACATTCCTACCACATTGGCCTCAATGTTCAAAGAGTGATAGGAGGTCAAATGTTTCTTGTCAAAGAGCCTCTCCCAAGAGATGCTAGGGCAAATGCTTTTAGAGAAACCTACAGTACATCTACCAGAGGCAGACAATGGCATTTATATAGAATTACAGCTGAAACTGCATCGTATTTGACAGAAGACAATTGCCTTTCTTCCTGTTGAAGACTCATGCTTGGCAAAGCTTTAATTTGAACTGCCCTACCATTCGGTGGGCGAGATGACTACAAGCATGCAGGTATCTAAAAGAAAAAGAGATTAATCCTAAATAATTAAGGCATTATATGAGGGCTTCCAAAATAAAACTGGAGATCTCTTGGCTGTTGCTGGACATTCCCATACAAGGAAAAGATCTCAAGAAATCCTCTTTTCCCCCCAGAAGAAGCGGACATCTCCATTTTCCACACGGGGGTTCCAGGTTGAAGAGTCTACAAGTATTTTTTCCTGAGAAATCCCTAGGATTAATGAAAGAATATATTCCTGTGGGTTGATAGATATCTCTTGAAGCTTCTTGATGCAAGCCATTCACGAGAATGGTTATTTTTAATCATGGGAAAATAATTTGGTGAGACCATGAAGACACAGTGAATTATCCAAATCCCTGGCGCCACTTGATAGTAGCAACATATGGGTATGTACTCAGGACTACGTATACATACATAGGCACATTCACATACAGGGCAAAAAGAGAGAAAACACTTCAGCAAAAGTGTAAGTTCCATCATAGAGCATTTCAGACAGTTTTGTTCTTCCAAAGGCCGTTCCGCTCTAGCATAGGGCACACCAAGTCAATGCTAAATACAAGCTCTGCCTTTTGGACAGAAAGAGTTGCCACATGCTTTTTAAAAAAGTATTATCATTATTTTGATCTACTCACCCAAGCTTCCCTTCAAATCAACTTGCTGGTATCTAATAGGCACAGCTCATATATGGCTTTGGCGACCCCTTTTAGCATGAGTTTTGCAATGGGATGGATGCTCTTGCTTTCTAGCCTCCCCAAAAGTGCGGGGAGCAACTGGCTCCAAAGTGAGAAAGCCAGAAGAAGCAGGCAGAGCTCTTGTCATTTCTTGGTTTTCACCGCTTCCCTCAGTAGGAAGGAGAGAAAGGCTCCAGCTGACTTCTGTCTACAGGGCAAAAGCAACTTCAGGTGTGTTTAAAAATCCCATACAGGATTCCCTTGGCATATTTACCAAGATGGCCTGCAATATGAATGCTTTTAAAAAGAGACAAAGTGTTGGCTCACCTAGTCTAGTGAGCTTTAGAACCTTAGCTGGCAGTTCTGCAAGCTCCTAGATTGAGGTCTCTCATACAACCCTGAAGTCTCCAGTTGGTTTTTCTCTGGCAGCAGAGTTTGCATCATGGACCCTCTTACATGCTTAGCTGCTAAGTCATGGCTTCTTCCAAGAATCTGAGACCCAGCAACTAGCATTTAATCTTCTCATACAATTTGATGTAGCCGTGTTTTTACTAGTTTTAAATAGATATTTTTTATACCCTTCAGAAATAAGGCTGGTTATGTAAAAGACCAGAGGTTTACCTCATTGGATACCTATAAAACTATCCCTACTTATTCAAGCGGCTTTCTACAATTCTTGGTATTTTAGTGCAGCTTTTCTGAACCCTCTACCGCATATTTCTATAAAAGCAGAAATCTGTACATCTGGATATGTCACAAATCAACAAGACAGCAGAGAAGCAGCTTGCAGCTGTCTACACTAATTGCACCTTGAGATCCAGTCCACGGTCCTATTAACCATCTCCAAGTGAGGCAATCTGCTCAGAGGAAGCTCCCACATAAAGTTTCTGCTAATCAGGCACTTCCTCCCTTCAGCAGTCATTCAATATGGCTGTGTGTGTGTCTGTGTGTGTGTGTGTGTGTGTGTGTGTCTAACAAATATTTTGGCTGAAGGTGTATTCCAGCTATGTTAAGGGATAATAGAAGAACTGAAGAAGAAGTCAAATAAGTTCTTGATAGCTGCAATCAATGCCTGGAATTATCAGCTCATTCCTTGGTAGCGATACATAGAAAAGATAGCAGCCTTGTGTAGAATGAAGACACTTTCTTGCTGTTCAGTTCATCCTGCAGTGGTATTAGAGAGGAGAAATTTCGGAGATTTGTTCTTGCATGAAACTTTAGGCATTTAACTAGAGATAAGGAATAAGTAAATGTAGGATACATGGTTCTCTCTATACCGACAAAAAGAAAATGATTTGATAACTGAGAATGTTACAGATAAGAGGTACGACATAAGGGCAGAATTATAAACAAGAGCAAGACTGAAGGTTTGGCCTCATGGTTCATGTTAACTCTGCTCTACTTCACAATGGTCTTTTGAGAAAAACAGGGTGTGTTTTTTTAAAATTATTCTGGCATGAAACCAAAATGAAGCAAAACACATTACAGCTCAGCATGATGTGTCAACTTGGTCTAGAGTCTGTTGGAAAGAGAACAGCATGGAATGGGAAGATGTTGTGGGGTGGGATTCTCCTAAGAAACTGAAAAGTAGATGGCTTGCTGGGATCCTGGGTAAGTGCCCTCCAGGCATCATCTGGCTGTCTCCTTGAATGGCATACCTTTAAGATTGGTTGGTCTTGGAGCTGGTGTTGGCTCAAATACTGGGGGTTTGCACCTGGCATAGGAAAAAGTCAGGGACTCCAGAGGGGATTCATTAGCAGAAGAATTTTCTCAAAACATACAAGCATAAAAAGTTATCTTTTCCAACTGACAGGAGGAGTCTGGTAGCACCTTTTCCAACTAACAAATTTTATTGGAAGGCATCAGCTTTTGTGAGTACATGACATTTGTTAAGTTTAGTGCAACAAAGTAAGATTTTTTGGGGGGAAAGTTGCAGCCAAACAACCTATTTTTTAAAATCACAGCTTAAAGCCATGATGGGGAATTTATGGCACGTGTGCCGGAAGTGGAAGGAGAACCATCTCTCCGGACATGCCAGCCGTCGCCCATTGCTCTTCTGGGTTCTGGCATGCATGTGAATGCTTTGCACACGCATGTGTGCCAGGAACCAGAAGACCAGGTGACTGGCGCACATGTGCACACCTGAAACTGGAAGTTTAGCTTCCTGGCATGTGCATGAATGCCAGGCAACTGCTTTTCTGGTTTCCGGCACTAGGTTTGATAACACTGGCTTAAAGTGTAAAAATAGTGAATGTGAATACATATTTATAAGATGCTAGGGCCTGGATGATAATGATAATGATGATGGATGTCACCTTTTCCTTGTGTGGATAAATGCACCACAATGATAAGACTCTCAATATATTAGTAAAGGTTTATTCTTGTAACAAAGTAAACCCTTCTTCTTTTCAGAAGCATAGAGAAGGAAAGAAAGGTAACCATATTTGGAGAAGAACGGGGATAACTTACCTCTTAGTCTGAAAATGAGCAGAAGCAACAAAGGTACCATTGACTTAGAGTTCTGGCACTTTCAGGGGCTCTTCGGAATTCTCACCGAGATTAGAATCACCTGAAATTCAAAAACAGAAACTGCTACAAATGGGTCTTCTAAATGCTGTTCACCTTTAATTTGGTGCAGTGTGACCTGTGTGGCTCAGGATTTAGAGCAGAGGAGCACAATCGGAGCACATGTTCTCCACAAAAACTTTGAGGGGAGCTCCTCAAAAAGTATGGAAATTGTAAGAGGTAAAGATTCAAGAGACCTGTATTTAAAGAAGCAACTGCAAACTTTCCTTTTATTAGGGAAGAGATTCTCTGGTGACTAAGTTCATAGCAAAGCTGTGAGAAAGAGTATTAGAAAGTCTCTGCCTGTATATGTGTATGTGTATGCATATGTATCCGTGTTTCCCTTTTGACACCCCCCCCCCCGAAATAAATGCTTGGCCCTATTTTCATGGAGGTCTTATTATTTTTGAGGTGCAGGAGGCGGCGAGTGTGGTCACCTTATGGCTGCTGCTGTGTTGCAATATTTTCGAGGAGGGCTTATTTTAGCGCATGTGCTCAGAAGACCAATTGGGCTTAGTATCCAGGTTGGTCTTATTTTCAGGGAAACAGAGCATATGTATATCATCATCATTTTAGTCATTGTCTATCCATTGCAGGATGAAGGCATCTTCTGCATGTTTCCAACTAATACGACCCTGAGCTTTCTTTTGTAAATTGGGCCAGCAATGCTTGCTGATGTTGGATGGGGGGGAGGGGGTCTTTCTGAGGCATTTTCATAAACCATTTTCTTGACTTGGGTTCAAAGTGTTGTTTGTCTGATCATTGTCTTGGTAGTGGATCTTCCCCCTGTCCTTAAGACCATCCCCTGTACCCCTTACACATTTTGATTGGATTGTATAAATTTTCATGTGCAAAATTACACAAATGAAATGGGGGGAAGATTCCCTAAATGATTGTTTTTCTCAGGACACTATTTGGATTATATTTTTTCCCCCTGGGATTTAAAAGTATCAGTTATTTAAAGGGATGTCAATTAAATTAAATTCTCTCCTTTGCTGGAATACATGTCATACCAAGTTATTTAAAAATAGCTTTGTCAGACCTGTTCTCCAATGTTTATATAGACAAGAAATGCTTTGAATGTTAGGTTTCCAAGTGATGAAACCCATTCAAAGAAGAACTGTGCAAAGTCCATCTTCAAAAACAAATTTCTTTTATTTAGGTAGACATCATTGGCAACATCTATTGTAATTCTGAATCTGACACAAACTGGAATTACACCATTTAATATATGTGTCTATAGGTTCCCATTCCTCTCCTTAGTATAGCTCTGAGAGCTGCCTGAGATGAGGAATCTTGAAAAACCACTGAAAAAAATGGTTACATTTAAATCCTTTGGAGGATGTAATTTTCCCTTGTCCCACAGAAAGTAATCAAATAGATTTAAGATTAAGTAAATCACTTCGCCAGATCAGTTCCAGGGCCTTGTTCCAAATTTATTAGGATATGATATATTAAACATAAATAAGTAACCTATAAAGGACTGATTTCCATCAACAAGCAATAATTTCCCTGGAGATCAGCTATATAATGAACATGCCTTCCAGAATGCATCCAGATGCTTCTAATCCAAGCTAATTATGTATAAGTGCATTATCAAGAGCCTTCTCTCACGCGATGCAAGCAACATAACCTCCCAAGATAATGAAATGCAATATTCTGCAACTTCTCCTATTGGGAAGTTTCTCCTGAAATTAATGTTAATTAGCAATGGAACCTAAGTCAGTTTTTTTTTAGTATAAATGACTTGGCCTATGGGACTCTAATGATATTAAATGCTGCAATTAAGGGGAGGTACTTTCTAATAGAAAGTGAATGGCTCAGCCATAAAAAGATGGGAATCCTTACTATTTACCTAGAAAAGGTTACCATGGTATCTCAAAAGATTTGGCATTCAGAAAATGGCAAATCTGCAGTCATTTACTTCTCTGGGAAGGTCTACTTCTTGATGTCAATGAGGCTTACTTCCAAATAAAAAGATAAAGNACTGTCAGTATACAAATTTAAAAAGAGACGTACAAGTTAAGAACTTTTTAGGATGACCTGGGTCTGATTTTGGAAAACTCTTTAGAGGAAATTGAACTTTTAATTAGTAAAATTAAAAGAATTTGAGGCATTAATATATTTCAAAATTAATAAACAGATGACAAAGATATGAACAAAAATATGAAGATATAAGATCCAACAGATTGGATGAATAGAATGGGTTTTAAGATTTAGAAGAAGATAAAATACATGAGCATGACTATAACAAACATTGATTGTATGTTATTTCAAAATATGTTAAAAAATATGTCAAGATGGGACAAACTGCAATTGTCATTGTTGGGAAGAATTAGTCTGTGATTAAGATGAATGTTTTAATTTTGTTTTAGACAATACCTGAATGCTGCATCATTTTAACAATGCCAGAAGGATGTATATAAATTTGTATGTCAGGAGAAAAACTTTTATTAAATATAAGGTATTACAAGATACAAAGGAAAGAGGAGGATTGGATTTACCAGATTTGAAATTATATTTTTCTGCTTGCTGTTTAGCTTGAATAAAAATATGATTATTATTAAGAAATAGAAGTTTATTGGGGCTAAAAGGACAATCTAAGATTGGAGTGACTAGGCTATCTCTGGTATGGCAAAGCTAACATTAATGTAGACTTCAAAAAATATGTCAGCAAGGCCACCCTTAGAATATGGAATAAATCTAGGTCCTGCCTGAAAATACTTTGGTATTTTTAGCACAATGAATGGTTAAAAATTATAAGTAAACATAAATGGTCAACTTATTATGATGTACTAATAGTAAGTGTTTCATTGGGAAACACTGTCATGGAGAATTAATTGCAGAATCATGCTCAACAGTGAGAACTCTGGGATAATTTGAGTTTCCCCGAGATTAGAAAAGAGTAAACTTTGTCTATCTTCAAGAAGGTGAAGAAAGAACATCTGAGAAATTATAGACCTTTCAGCTCTAGATAATCAAAAGTCCTCAAACAGATGATTAAAATGATTTTTTGTATCTTTGGGTCAATATTGATTGGCTTTTTGCCTAAGGCTAGAATAGAATTTGTAGTCTCCCAGTTTCCAGTTAATCATCTTCAATCTCTATACCAAACTGTATCTCTTTGGATATGGGTAGATCATAATATCTCAAGCATCTGAAAAACTGAAGTATTGTCCACAAAAATTAATTTTTAAGTATTAGAAAGTTACCATTGTTTCCTGTCTATTATGTTTTTTGTATTTCAATAAAAGGATGGGATACAAATATTTTCACAGCAAATTAATGTGCAATTAACGAAGTGCTAATTTTTAAATCAACAAAAGCAAAAAAAGAATCATCTGTGGAGATGAACATAAAGAGTTGATTAGATTACAGAGAGAATTCATAGTCAATCCGTTCCCATTGAATTAACATCCCAGCTGCTATATGCTGCAATATGCAGAGCAAAGTCTCCAGGCACAACACAAACATATGTATCAAATATTCGGGCAATGGCATTGGTAGAGTAAGTAGTTTCCATCTTTACATAGCACTACTTACTAATTAAATTAGTATCTGCCCAATTGCACTCATATGCTATTTAAAAAGGAAAATAAGAATACACTAAAACTAATGAACTTTATAGAATACTGTGGTAGTCAGTATCTTCTGGAAGACTCAAGAGGTGGGGCAATGAAGTTAGGTGTATTCTGATATCATAATGTAAATATGAAAATCATGCTGACATTACTGGTGCTCTTTTGTATACCTATGAATGTAGCTAACACCCTGATACACTCAACTTTCCCTTTCTTCATCTATTCCAAAAGCATTAATGTAGGCTTTTCAACCATACCTTCCATATGAACTGGGATTGTATGTACATTAAATGAAGAAATGCAGTTCACATTTAATTTGTGCATTCTTATAAATATATGCTTTAAAAGTTTATCCCATTACTTTCAGTATTTTGTATTTCCAGGTAATTAATAAACAACTACAATCATTGATGGAACACAGTTGTTCGCAACTTGGGAGTCCTCCTGGACCCACAGCTGACCTTCGAACATCATTTGTCAGCTGTGACCATGGGGGCATTTGCCCAGGTTCGCCTGGTACACCAGTTGCGTCCCTACCTGAACCGGGAGGCTCTCACAACAGTCACTCGTGCCCTTGTGACCTCTAGGCTGGAATATTGCAATGTGCTCTACATGGGGCTGCCCTTGAAGAGCATTCGGCGACTCCAGCTAGTCCAGAATGCAGCTGCGCGAGCAATTGTGGGTGCACCTCGGTTCACCCACGTAACACCTATCCTCCGCGAGCTGCACTGGCTACCTGTTGATCTCCAGGTGCGCTTCAAGGTGCTACTTATCACTTATAAAGCCCTTCATGGTAGTGGGCCTGGGTACTTGAGAGACCGCCTACTGCCAATTACCTCCACTAGACCGATTCGATCGCATCGATTAGGCCTCCTCCGAATTCCATCTTCTAGCCAGTGCAAACTGGCAACTACCCGGAGGAGAGCCTTCTCGGTGGCTGCTCCGTCCCTTTGGAACGAACTCCCCGTGGAGATTCGGACCCTCACCACCCTCCAGTCCTTCCGCGCCGCTTTAAAGATCTGGCTGTCCCGGCTGGCCTGGGGTTAAGATTGTAGCCCCCCACGAATTGTGCGATTGTTGTGTTTTCTTTTTAACATGCTGTATTGTCTATTGTTTGTCTTCTCCCCCACCCTCTTTTGAATTGTGAGCCGCCCTGAGTCCCCCCAGGGAAAAGGGCGGCATACAAATAAAGGCAAAACAAAACAAAACAAACAAACAGTTTTATTTCTTCTGCTATCCATTTTTATTTCTTCTTCTATCCAAATTATTTATCTAGAAGTAAATGCAGAAAGATTTAGGATTATATTAAGATTATAAACATGAATGCTTTATCAGCAAGAAAGCAGTATTGTACTTAATAAATAAAGGTGATCTGGGACATGGTGGCTCAGTGGCTAAGACACTGGGCTTGTCGATCAGAAAGGTCGGCAGTTCAGCAGTTCAAATCCCTAGTGCCGCATAATAAGCTCCCATTAATTTTCCCAGCTTCTGCCAACCTAGCAGTTTGAAAGCATGTAAAAATGCAAGTAGAAAAATAAGAACAACCTTTGGTGGAAGGTAACAGCATTCCATGCGCCTTCAGCATTTAGTCATGCTATGCACATGACCATGGAGACATCTTTGGACAGCGCTGGTTCTTCTGCTTTGAAATCGAGATGAGCACTGCCCCCTAGAGTTGGGAATGACTACCACATGTGTGCAAGGGGAACCTTTACCTTTTA